GGGCGCATCGCAGCTGCGCGTCGACTCGAAAGTCCGCGACAACTCGCCCTGCGCGGGGCTCTCGCGGAGGCACGGCGCGCGATCGGACTGTCGCAATCGCGCGGCCATGTGACAGCCCGCCATGCCCTCCGCGCGCGCTGGCCCTTCGCCAGCGCCGAACCCCATCGAACCTTGGTGGAACAAAATTTTGGTTCCTTGTTTAATTTCAGAGTAATGTGATTTCGTAGACGATCTGTCAATCAAGTGGTGGTGGTGGGGGTGGGGCCCAGGGAGGGGAGGGAGACTTCCATGGAACTGCCTGCCCGTATTTCTCGTGGTGTTGACACTGGTTTGTCCAGAAGGCGACAGGCGCAGGGACTCGGTCCGGAGAGTGAGGCCACGCTGGGCTCAGAGCGTCGCCCGGCCTCACCGCTGGTTTTGCTGGAAATTGCGCGCGCAAAGGAAGCCTCGGCCCTGCCTGAACCCACCGCTGCAGGCACGGCGGCGGACTAAGATCAGGAGGGGAAAACACACAGACACAATTAACCGTCGATTCCCCTGAAAATATGGGAAGTGGGGGGGAAGACAAAAACCTAGAAAATATACGAAAAGATGGGGAATCCTGTTGTTTATGTGTATTTATTTGTGTGTCCCAGGGCCCCTTCATAAGATGGCACCTGGGCCACGGAGCCCCCCGCCCAGACACACCTGGGCCCCGACTGTCCCGTGCGGCGCGCGGGCTCGCTGCCGTGCCTCAGGGGGCACCCCAGGCGGAGCCCCAGAGCCCGGGCGGGGCCAGGACGGGGACACGTGGCGAGGTCGAGGTTCGGGGGCGGCAAAGAGGGGGGTGATGACAAGGGAGGGGGGGATATCATGGCGTGGGCCATGATATTTCCGCAGATTTCATGGCGCCTCTTCCTATTTCATTACGTTCCTGGCCCCCCCGCTGGGCCGCGCACATGCCGCCGGTCATGATTTGCACCCCCCCCCCTCTTGGACACCCCCTTCTTGGCCGCTCCCGAATGGCGAGGTCGAGGTGTCAGGTCGAGGTCGGTTCGGGAAGGGTGCCCCAGGGTCCTTCGTGGCTGTTGGGTGTTCTCGTGCATCCTGGGGAGGGTTACCCTCGGATGTTCGGTTGTTCGAGAGACGTTCTTCTGACCCGGGTCCGACCGTTTATGCTGGCCCGGGTACCGTTCTCAGAGCGTCCGAGCTGACTCTGCTGACGCCGTCGGCGCCTTCGCCCGCGGCCGCGACAAAAAAGTATCCCCACCAGCCCTAGCTTGCACGGCGTTCGACTCGTCTTCGCGCGCCCGCGTACCAAAAAGGATCCCCACCAGCCGATCCAGAAACGATGCGCATGAGAGCTGACGGGGGAGAGGAAGAAACACGCATAGTCAAACAGCGAGGGAGGCCGGCCTGGACGGTGTGTTGGGGCCATCTTGGCCTTTTGGCGGCCTCCTGGCGAGGTTCCGTGGCCATCTCGAGCAGTCTGGGAGCGGTCTTGGGACCCCTTGGAGCATCGTAGGAGCCATCCTGAGCCAGCTTGGGCTACCTTGAGCCATCTCGAAGGTCATCTTCCACGAGGGAAAAAACAGAGACACAATTAGTCGTCGGCTCCCCAGAACATAAAGGAACATCTGGCAAGTGGGGGGAAGACAAGCACCCAGAAAATATTTGAAGCTATGGGGCATCCTGTTAGTTGTGTGTATTTCTTTGCGTGTCCTTGGGCCCTTTGAAGCTGTGGCTCTCTGAGGCCGCTCGGGAGCCGCTCCAGGGGCCTTTTGGAGCCCCCTCCGCGTGGGCCTACCTCCGTGTGCGGCCTGCGCGGCGGGGGGCTCCTGGCGGTGCCCAGCGGAGCCTCCGAGGGAGCAGCACAAACGGCCTCCTGGAGCCCTTCTTGGGGCCTCTCGGGGCGCTCTCGGAGCCCTCTTGGGGGGCCTCTTGCCGGAAGCTGGAACAGATACATTCCCAGTGGCGGGCTGTTTTTCAATCCCAGAGCTTGCCCCGGAAAGGGCGCGGGTGCAGGGTTCTCTTGCATTTGTTATTTAGAGGTTTACCCCCAGAATCGACGGCTGTAGGGCCGGCGGAATTATTTCGCGATAAAGAAAGAGGTCGCCTAGGGCCGGCTGAATTTTTTACATAGCACCCCGCAATTGCGGATAAGAGTGAGGGGGCGGGCGCGGGCGACGCGGACGTCGTCGAGCCGGCGGACCTCGTGGCCCCCACCTTCCCTGTCGATGGCGCTCTCCTCCTCCTCCTCCTCCTCGTTCTCCTCCTCCTCCTCCTCCTCCTCCTCCTCCTCTTCCTCGTCCTCGTCCTCGTCCTCGTCGTCATCGTCATCCTCCTCCACCTCGTCCTCCTCTTCTTCCTCGTCCTCCCTCTCCCCCCCTCGTCCTTCCATCATCGTCCTCCCATTGTCGTCCACCCCCTCATCGGCCTCCATCATCGTCCTCCCATTGTCGTCCATCATCATCATCATCATCCTCCCCCTCCTCCCCCTCCTCGCCTCCTCGTCCTCCTCCTCCCCCTCCTCCCCCTCCTCGTCCTCCTGCTGCTCCTCCTCCTCCTCTTTCTCCACATTCTCCTTACATCCTCTCTTCTTTCGCGTCCTCCTCGTCCCCTGTTTACTCCTCCTGCCTCCTCCTCCTTTCCCAAGATAACGGCAACGCAATCCTTTTTTTCCACTTTATGCTCCCCAACTTCTCTGATCAAGGCAACTCGCCAGGGCAAAGTTGCTGGACGGGCTGGTGTGGATGCGCGGGGTTTGAAGAGGTCGTTGCGGGTGCAGACGGCATGCAAAAATCCGCCGCCGCGCTTGTGCGGCATTGGTTTGTTCAGTGAACGTGGTTTGGGTGGCGGGTTGGTCGCGGGCTCTCCACCTCCACCTGGAAGGAATGCAAAAGCAGCCCGCCGCAGGCGCCGAAAACATTGGTTTGTACACTGAACGTGGAATGGGTCGCGGGTGGGCCGCGGGCTCTCCACCAGGGACGAATGCAAAATATGCCCGCCGCAGGCGCCGAACAATTTGGTATGTACCCTGATCGTGGTCGCGGGTGGGCCGCGGGCTCTCCACCTGAAACGAATGCAAAAGATGCCCGCCGCAGGCGCCGAAAAATGTTGTTTACACCCTGAACGTGGTTGGGTCGCGAGTTGGTCGCGGGGTGGGTCGCGGGCTCTCCGCCTGGAAGGAATGCAAAAAAGCCCGCCGCAGGCGCCGAAAATGGTGGTTTGTACCTTGAACGTGGTTTGGGTCGAAGGTGTGTTTCGAGAGAAATGCTTGTTTTTTATATTCAGACTTGGTTGAGGATGTCTCGAGCGAAACGCTTGTTCTGTGTTAGAGATTGTCTTCTCCTGGGGACCAGGATTCAGAGGATTTCTGAAGTGAAATGCTTGTTTTCACGTGCCCATGTCTTGAGGATGTCTCGAGCGAGACGCTTGGTTTCACGCTTCCAGGTTGCCCAGGCAGAGGTCTAGCGCCGGGATTTGTTGAGGATGTGTTGACGAAACTCTTGGTTTCACGCGTCCTCGTCGCCCAGGCGGATGTCTAGCATGAGGTTGTGTTGACGAAGTCTCGATCGAGATGCTTGTTTGCACGTGTCCAGGTTGCCCAGGCGGATGCCTAGCATGAGGACGTGTTGAGAATGTCTCGAGAGATACGCTTTCACGTGTCCAGGTCGCCCAGGCGGATGTCTAACATGAGCATGTGTTGAGGATGTCTCGAGCGATACGTTTGCTTTCACGTGTACAGGTCGCCCAGGCGGATGTCTAGAATGAGGAGGTGTTGAAAACGTCTCGAGCGAAACGCTTGTTGTCACGTGCCCAGGTCACTCAGGCGGACGTCTCACATGACGATGTGTTGAGGATGTCTCGAGCGAACCACTTGTTTTGACGTGTCCAGTTCGCCCAGGCGGATGCCTAGCATGATAATGTGTTGAGGATGTGTTGAGCGAAACGCTTGTTTTCACGTGTCCAGGTCGCTCAGGCGGATGTCTAGCATGAGGATTTTGACCGGATATCTCGAGCAAAACGCTTGTCCCCAGCACGTTCCGTAGCGCGTCCCCTTGGCACGTCCCGCGGTGCGTCCCCATGGCACGTCCCCTGGCACGTCCCTTGACGCGTCCCTTGAGACGTTTCGCGGCGCGTCCTCCTGGCATGTCGGCATGTCCCCTTGTCAATTAGCTTTGGGGCAGCTATTATGTGTTCAGTCAGCTCGAGCTGAAGATCCCGATCAGTTCGGTCAGGACTCGGATGCAAAGGAGGATTCGATCCACAACGTTATAGAGCACAATCGCGGCATGGCACATCGCAATTCAGCACGGTGCAGCACAGCGCAGCCCTCGGCAGGGTACATCAAGATCGATACACTCAGGATTGCAACCTGGCGCGTTCCTTGGCACGTTCCGTGGTGCGTCCCTTGGCGAGCCCCCCTGGCACGTCGCGTGGCGCGTCCCCTGGCACATCCCGTGGCACATCCATTGGCACATTCCGTAGCGCGTCCCCTTGGCACGTCCCGCGGTGCGACCCCATGGCATGTCCCCTGGCACGTCGCTTGGCGCGTCCCTTGAGACGTTTCGCGGCGCGTCCTCCTGGCATCTCCCCTTGTCAATTAGCTCTGTCGGGGGCCACGATTTTTTGAGGGGTGTCAAAAAGTGACCCTCCCGGGGGCCGAAAATGGACCCTCTGGCACATCGGGGGGCCCCCTCCCAAAATGGGATTTTGCTCTCGTCCTGGCTTTGTCGTGTGTTATAGAGGGCGCCAGGACGGCCCAAGATGGTCCCCAGCGCGTTGCCAAGTCGGTTCAAGAAGTTTCCAGGAGACCCCAGAAATGCGACCAATGCGCTGAATTCAATACCGCTTTCTCGGTTCGGAAAGGGCTCGCTGTTCCTGAGGTTATTCCGTGGTTGTTCCTCTAGCCCTCCTCGTGCATCTTGGCTGCTTTGGTATATATTTGGGGTTTCTTTCATTGTTCAGCGTTCCTCAGGAGCCCGACTGTAGACCAAAAAGCCCCCACGAGATGCCGTAGCCATTTTGGCTCCAGCGATCTTGTCCCAAGCAATTTTAGTGCTGGACGATGGGCCAAGCTTGCCAGAAGCCGCCGCAGGAGACCCCCGCGGAGGTGGCGAAGCCGGCCCCTGCGGAGGAAGAGAAGCCGGCGCCAGCGCCGGCGCCGCCAGCGGAGCCGCAACCTGCCGCCGACCTGACCTCGAAGGAGGACCGATGGAGAGCAGCCGAGGACGAGGACGAGGACGAGGAAGAGGATGGTGAGGACGAGGAGGAGCAGTGGGCGAGGAGCAGGATGGGGCAGCAGAGGACGACGAGGAGCAAGAGCAGGATCGGAGGACGCCTGGACGAGCAAAACGAGCACGATGTCGAGGGTCGAAGACGAGGACGAGACCACACGAACCCAAACCGTCGGAGCTTCGCGAGGATCTCTCGGATCGGCGCTGGGCCCCGCTCGCGGCGCCGCTGAAACGCCGCCCCTGCCGGCGTTTTTCGGCGCAGATCCATCGGGGGGGGGAACAAAAACACAGGCACAAGTAATCGTCGATTCCCAGGAAGATATGGGACAATATGGGAAGTGTGGGGGGGAGACGACAACTCAAAACATGTGGAAAAATATGGGGGATCCTGTTATTTGTGTGTCTTTCTTTGTGTGTCCTTGGGCCCCTTCAATCCAATGCATCCGCGCGGACCTCCGAAAGTGTACGTTTATGCCGCTGCTTGCTGCTCTGGAGGAGGCCGCGCTGGACACAGCAGCCGAGCAGAAGAGCTTCTCGCGGATGTGCTCGGGGGGGGCGGAGCCGGCGCCGGCTCCGGCGGAGCCGCCACCTGCCGCCGACCCGCCGCCGAAGGAGAAGCCTGCGCCGGACACGGCCGAGGAGAAGGCGCCGCCGCCGACAGCGGAGCCTCAGCCTGCTCCCGAGCTGACGAAGAAGGAGGAGGCCGCGCTGGACACAACAGGCGAGCAGAAGAGCTTCACGCGTGTGTGCTCGGGGGGGGCGGAGCCCGCCCCGGCTCCAGCGACGCCAGCGGAAGCGCCGCCTGCCGCCGACCCGCCGCCGAAGGAGAAGCCTGCGCCGCCAGCAGACCCGCAACCTGCCGCGGACTTGACGTCGGTGGCGCCAGCGCCTCCAGCGGAGGCGCCACTTGCTGTCGACTTGACGTCGAAGGAGGAGGATGCGCTGAACGTAGCGAGGCAGAGGAGCTGCATGCGGGTGTGCACGGCGTCGGCGGCGGATTCGGTTTGCAGTGTGCAGTGATCGGCGATGGCGACGGGGACCTGGCGAGCGACGGGGAGGCCGCAATCGCATCCGCAGCGAGAGGATCTTTTAGATTGATCGTCAGGTAGATTTTCCATTGAAATTCGATCGTGCGAGAAATACCTAGGTAGGCTTTTTTCGAGCAAATTTTCAGCCCCGCAGACTTAGTAGTAGCAGAACCATCTGCTGCAGGATCGTGTACAGTCACTTCCGAAGGCCAGGCGTCTGAGTGCGCAAGCTTCCGCGCAATCGCGTGCTCCTTACTGCTGACCGCTTCATGTCGGGCCTGGCCCCTATGGCTTGGTCTGCACTGCTAGCCAGCATGTAAGGAGAACCGAAGGACGCGACGAGGAGGACTGACATTATAACCAAAAAAGAGCACGAGATGCCCCAAGAGAGGAGCCAAGATGCGCCCAGAGAGCCCCCCGACTGCCCCGTCTCGACCAAATTCTTGTTGAAGTGGTTTTCAAAAGTCCAGGGCCTTTCAAGCTTCGGGGGTCTCCAGAGGCCTCCAGGACGGCCCGAGAGGGCCTCAAGAACCTCTCGGAACGGCCCACGGGGCCCCGAGAGGTCCCACAAGACGGGCCAAGGCAGCCTCTGGAGGGGCCCCAGGCGGCCCAAGAGCTTCGAGACGGTGCCACGACGGCCCCCCATCCCCGGGCCCCCCCCTCCTCGTGGTAGCGGGATGGAGACGACCAGGATAGAACGCACTGAGCTCTTTGTCTGTCCTGGCCAAGTCAGCACGCCTGCGACATGGAATCGTGCTGGCGTTGGGGGTCGCATATACCCTCACAAGTCCGTCTTTCGAGTGCATCAGCGTCGAGTCGAGGAGATAGCGCCGATGCGATATAGCGTCGAATAGCGTCGATAGAACGTCGATTAGCGCCGATGAGCGTCGAGTCACAAGAGCCAACAAGATGTTAAGTGAGGCTCCCACAAGTTACCAGCGATCCCTGTGCAGCGGTCGGCTGCGCCCGCGCTCGGTGGAGCCCACAGTTTCGGCTTCGCGCCAACACGAGGTGGTGAAAGCCCTTTGAGTCTAGCCCACCTTGGTGGTGCCTTGCCCTGTGCTTGTCGATTACAGCCCATCGGCGCGCCGGAGGAAAAGCGAGCGGAACCCCCTCGATCCGACGTGAAGCTAAGAGCGGATTGAAGCCCGCCGCGGGCGCCGCGTGTTTGGGTTTGCGCGTGTTTGGGCCTGCGGGTCGAAGGTTCCCTTCTGCCGTCCAGACCTCGTGCCACCAGTCAGTACCCCGCCCTGGCCAGGACCTCGCAGATCTTCCAGACCACATTACGGCCGGCTGAATTCTGGCGGCTCGAGCTGGAAGCCCTGACCAGACCGGCAAGGAAGGAGCTCCCCAGATCTGGTCAGGGATTTACGCATCGAGGAACACCCCTAACCAGACCCTGGATTGTCCCCTCTTTCTCGATCAGATCAGGGTGTCCCCCCTGTTTGTCATCGAAGTTGTACTTCACGGACTGCTTGAGTGTGAGGGAGTCGAGCGAGCAGGGACCTGGGGCTTTGGCAAGCGGGCCTCGACCTTGAGGGGCGCGTGGCTTCTATTCAAGAGGCTTGTGCCATTCTGCCGACCCCCGGGAAGGTCAGGAACAGCACGAGAGGAGGAGGAGGAGGAAGAGGAGGAGGACGAGGAGGAGGAGGAGGAGGAGGAGGAGGACGAGGGGGAGGAGGAGGAGGGGAGGAGGAGGAGGAGGAGGGCAGGGAGGAGGGAGGAGGAGGAGGGAGGAGGAGGGAGGAGGAGGAGGAGGAGGGAGGAGGAGGAGGAGGAGGAGAGGAGGGAAGGAGGAGGAGGAGGAGGAGGGAGGGAGAGGAGGAGGGAGGGGGAGGAGCAGAAACAGGGCGACGACAGCGAGGCAATTTCGGAGAGGATTGGGCTCGGGGGCCGGGGGCGTGGGCAGGCGGGCCTGGACCTCGAGGGGCGCGTGGCTCATATTTCTACTGTCCCGTGCTCCGCGCTTGTTGATCGATCTTTGAGGGTTGGTTCGGTCTGGTTGTAGGTTAGTTCTCGGGCGAAGAGAGCTGTGCACATGCCCCGGTCCTGGCCAGGCCCCTCCTGGGCCCAGGATCGGCGCATATGCTTTCCCGGCCGAGGCAGGAGGGCGTATGCACCGATCCTGGGCTCAGGATGGGCCCGGCCAGAATCGGTGTATGTGCACAGTTCTCCCTCCTCTGTTTGGGTTTGTGTGTACTCGGATGTCGGATTGTGGTGTTTGGTGTTCGAGGGTTTGGTGTTGCCGGTGGTTCGTCTCTGGTCCAGCTCGAAGAAAAACAAGTGCCTGCACACTACTTGTTGGAGCTCCGCGCGGAACTTCGGAAGTGTATGCTCATGTAGTTGTGTTGTCCTTATGTTGGTGTTTTGGGGGTTTGTTGCTTGCTGCCTCATGTTGGGTCTAGCGTCTAGCTGGATTGAGTTAGCCCCAGAGTAGTCCGACAGAATTGGGCTGAGCTGGCTGGAGTTAGAGTCCTATGTGTCACCCCTGGTCCTCTCTGGCATCCCCCTAGCGCCCCCCCCACTCCTTTTTGGCAGGAAGGCAGGAAAAAAAAGGAATACAATAGGGCGTACAGAAGTAGCATCGCGATGTAGCGACGCGACAGTTGCAAGCCCTGGGTCAGGCAGAGTGCGTCCAAAATGAAATGGGGGCGCGTGGGCGGAAACTGTCTCGCCGCGATTTTGCCCCAGCTCAGGCGATCCTGCATTGACGTGCGCTTGCGCACTGTTGTGTGTATGTGCTGAGCTCACCCTTTGGCGCGCACGCGCGCTCTGACGTGCAATCGCCTATGTGAGCAAGCGTTCCTCATCATGTTGCTCCCCCCCAGAAGCTGCGAGTCAGGAGCAGCCGATCGTATGCTCGGACTTGGACACATAACGTGAGCATGGGGAGAAACAGGATCGCGAGGTAGCCATGCAGGGACGTTCAGGACGCCGTCGCCAAGACAAGAAATAGCCCAAGCCATCCTCGTTGCTCCGCCGCCGTCTGAGCTTCGGGAAGGAAACAAGAGAAAACGATTGGAACAACTTGCGAACAGCACCTCCCTGCTCCTTCTCCGCTCACAGGTTTGCTCATCCTCCTTCTCCAGGGTGCATGGCAATCCGATCGAACCGAGTTGATATCGAGTTTGGCTGGCCCGATCCGATTCAATACCGATAGTATGATGCGATGCGGCCCGATGTCATCGTGGATTTGATTTATCGTGTGTCTTGGCGTAGCCTCTCCGATTCGATTTCGACTCCGCGTCGATACAGCCCGATCTGACGACATTTTTGATCCGATCTGGTTTCCCGACTTCGATGCTGACTGACCCTGCACTCTTGGACTGCACGCCGAAGCACGCTCGTATGTCTCCTCGCCCTGCCCGTTGGGTCCCGGGCGTCGCGGGCAGGATCATCGCCGAGGTCGGCGACCGCACCGCGGAGCTCGACCTGTCCCTCGCCGGGAGGGGCCCCTGGTGAGCTCGTGGAGCAAGGGAAGGGGGACGCGGCATGCAGGGGCGAGGAGGGAGGAGGTGGGGGAGGCTGTGGACGCAGAGAAGGTAGTTCCAAGACCGACGAGTCGGCGACCCAAAGTTCATGTTGATGCCGTTCGTTCTGTCTCCTCTCCTTCTGCAGGAGGAGTGGGCTGGCCTTCCGCAGCCCCCTGAGACCCGCCGTCGCGGAACAAATACCATCATCGTGGGATACAGGCTTCGCAACAAATTAGCGAACACTCATGCCACATTCATCCGTCAACGCTTCCCCCTCCCCCCAATGTTCAAATTTGGCGGTGGGTCTGACGAGATGCACTTCGACTGCAGTCTCCCCCGCGCGTGCCAACGTTGAGTTTGGGGGGGAGGGGGAGTGTTCAGTAATGGCTTCCCTCGACCGTACCACGGCCAGAGCTAGAAACTCACGGCCCGAATCAGGGGTTCTGCGGCATGTCTCTGGCTGGCCTCTCGAGCTGCAAGGGCCCGAGGCCAGGCGAGCCAGCAGCGCCGGGATACGACGTGGCCACAGTTTCCCTCCTTGCTGTGCTCGGCGGCGAGCCCGTGTGGGGAAGTACCCCGCTTTCGCTTCCAGACAAAACCAAGTCATACCACGCGCCTCCTGGTCAAGCGACCTGACTGTTGCGGGCCGTAGCCTGGTATCGTTTGGTATCGTTTAGAGGCGAGGGTGGTCAAAAGCGAGGTAGGTTCGTTTGCCTCCTAGAAGGGGCGGGCCTTCTCAGAAGGCTCCCGAAGGCATGGACCACCTCGGAGGGGGGCGGGCCTCCTCAGAATCGGGAGCGCAAGAAGGACGCACGCGTACGTGAATCCACGTGGGTGTCGAGCGTACGCGTTGCGCGAACGTTCGTACCGCGTGGGCGGCCCCGCGGCTTTCGGGGCCGTGCTCATGTGCGTAAGCGGTTGGGCGCGGACGTCCTCTGTGGGCTCTCCTGCAGAAGGGTGCGCCACGCCGAAGGCATGGACCCTCGGCGGGCCTGGTTGGCATGCATTCGCTCTCCCCTGGGCCGTTCGCCCCCGTCGTCGCCCCCGACCGCGCCAGGGGGGGGCAGCGAGAGGGGGCGGGCCCTCTCAGAAGCCTCGGAGGTCCCCCGGCCTTCTGTTGAGTCGGGCCTGTCCCCCTACAGGGGGACTTTCGACGAAGAATAAAACATACCCCAAAAATAGTCAAAAAATAGTCCAGCAACAGTCTGGGGACTAGTTTTGTTAGTCTTGTTTTACCTTTCTGGGGCATTTGTGGAGTATTTTTTGTCTTTCGCCCAAAGTCCCCCCGTAGGGGGACACGCCCGACTTAAGCCTTCTGCAAAGTTGCTTGAGCCATCCCTGTAGACACAGAGATCTTCTCAGAAAACCAGAGGGCTTCTGAGAAGCCCCGCCGCCTTCTGAGAAGGCCTTCTCCTCCTTGCTTCCCCTCCTCGCTCGTCGCCGATGTTCTGACACTGTGCACAACTTGTCACCCATGGGCGAATCAGAGATTACCCATGTGGAGCTTGGCCGATCCTGCGGTGCATTCTTCGTCTGCCTTCAGGGGACCGCTCCGGCAGCAGAGCTGACATGCAGACCGCCATGCCTTGCCATCTCTCCCCCCTGACGTGCGGAGCGGTTGTTTTTGATGAGTGGCCGGGCAGGGTGTCCGATAACACGGCCCGCCACGGCATGGCCATCGGCAAGCTCGCGGAGCAGCAGCGGCGCCTGACCACGACGATGGACGCCCGGCGAGCCCGGCGGTCCTTTCATCTGGTCCCTCCTCTGAGTCGGCTGGTTCTGGCCAGCAGGAAGCGGAGGGAAAGGTCTGCGGCCATTCGCGGACCTTATCCTTGCGGGTCCAATCGGATCGACGCTGGGGTATCGGACACCCCCGCTGGGGTTTATCTGGCTGCAGTGGGTCCGAGGTGGCGCAGTACCCAAGCCCCTGCAAACGGGGTGTTTGTAAACGGGGTGGTAGCTAAGGGGCCTTTACGAGCGAGTACAGGGTGACGGCATTCACCACGCACTAGTGCGTGATACATCGGGGCGACAAAATCTGTGATACATCATCGTAATTCTGGGCGGGGGGGACTACCTCGCATTTGTGTGCGGCAAACCACTTGCTCGAAGTCACAATTCAAAACGCACCCTGAGCTGACCACCCCTTTCACAGACAGCCAGTTTGCAGGGGTTTGGAGTACTGGTTCCAGCCAGCAGGAAGGGCGGGCAGGTTCGAGGCTCTGGGGCCCCAGGGAGGTGTCCGTGTGCGGGCCGCCGGACCGTGAAACACGGATTCGGGGGGGAAAAATCCCAGACATGGTCGCGTCGTCAAAAAGTCACGGCTGGAGTTTTTTGGCCGAGCTCGGCCTTCGGAGACCTTCGCCGGGCCTCGGGACTGTCCAAAACGACTCAGGAAGGGAAACCGGTCCCGGGGAAAGGGTCGGGACCTCCGAGGATCGCGTATTGAAGAAATCAGGACCTCGCATGTCTGGGATTGCATCAGATGGACCCCGCGGGGGGGGTCGTGAGACCGACTTTGATTCTGGCCCCATCCCCCCCTCCTGGCCAATAGTCTGGGGGACAGGCTTGCGACCGTTTGCGAAGGACCCTGCGCCTGCGGGTCCCATCGACGCTGGGGCATC